AAGCGTGAGTAATTTAGTGAAAATATGAAGTTACATAAATTTATCTTTTGATCAAAATACTATTTTGATTGAAGGTACTTTTTTGTTTATTGCACATCAAACTAAATGTAGTTCGTATTTTTCATTGCAACTAAATACTTGGTATTGGTATTGGTTTATTGCTAACAATACAAAAGCTCTGTTTCTTGATATTGCTGATGATTTTGGTTCTTGGACAATTCTTGTTAGTCATATTGGAATAAGATAGTGTTGATTTCATTGGGCAGGAACTAGTTTTACTTCAAAATTTTTGCGAGCAAATAAGATAATGTTTTACAAATTTCGTGAAGAAACGATGAAGTAATAGGAAAGGCGGATATGTATTTCTTTAGCACAGAACATCTTCCTTTAACCAAAGATGCTCAAAGAGCACTTGACTCCGCTGTGAATCGAAAGCTAAAAGCAGGTTTGTCTCTTATGTTCTGTAACTCAACTTGTCTCTTAAGCTAAAAACAATTATTGTGTTTAGGCATAATTCTCTTTTCATTGCTGAAAGAATCGACCATCTATTGGAGGAGATGAGAGGACCAGTAGCAAATGTTGTCAAGCTGCGGTTTAAAATTTTGAAGAGTGTTTAGAGTTTTAAAGATTTCAGTATATAGACAACTATTGTGGATAATGTCTTCCATATCATATTTTTAGATGCCAAAATTATATGTTTAATGTATACATACACGTTTGATTAATAAAACATTTATATGGTCCACTATGGTTTCAAAATTGAGAATTTGCAACCTGTATACACAGATTATCCTTACATTAGTAATATATACAAACACTATTCTAAGCACTATTGAAGTTTTGATATTCCGAATTAACCCCTACCAACATTAGCGTCAGACTACACGTGTAGTATATATGTAGACACATGTGTCAGAAGAAAAATCTTTTTGTATTTTTACCTATATTGTAACGTATACATACACTAGTGCTATATATTGATATTGTAATTATTAGTTTAAGAAAAATAAAAAATAAAGGATTTTAATAAACAAAACCATCAGATTGGGAAGGTAAAAGCATTGGATGTCGAGAAAAATAGAGAGAGAAACTATCTTCACCGGAGAAATATCGGATATCAGATTTGGAAGTTGATAGATGTGACCGAGAAATAAGAAGAGTTTCGTAAACTTGTCGATACCGGCAAAGTAAATCTGATTTTTTTTGTTTTCTTGCTTCAGATGTCGATGGAAGTGCTTCCTCCGTTACTGAACCGGATGTTCAGTACTGACACAAAATCAAAGACAAGATAAGTTAATCACCGGTAATGGTGATGGTGACCAACGGTTGTGATGATTATCAGTGGTGATGAACGACGGTAGCGATGGACAATAACAATACAAACAATCCTCAGGTCGATAACGATGGCTAGCCGCGAATTCAGAACGTTTTCCCGATTTTCCAATCTAATCGCCTATGCAACTTCACAATGAGTCGACTCAGCGAGTTAACTCGGTGAATTGGGTTGAGTCGATTCAGTAAGTTAACCAATTCGTTATTAGCTATTACATTTGTTAGATGTTTAACTTTAAAGTTTGCTAGAATGTTGCTTGTTTTCAATCATTAAATATTTAACAATACGTATTACCGTTAGAAAAAATATTATCCGCTATTATATATGTTAGATATCTAACAATGAATTAAGAAAGAAAAATTGAAATACAAAGATAGTCATACTAGCGTACAACAAGACATTTCTATAGTGGATTTGATCGGAAAAGATGATGATTCACTGTCAAACACCATGAATCTCGCCAACAAAGCCAAACATTTGTGAACCCCACATCCCATATTTGCTATTATGGAATGGAATCAAATAACTAATTTTTATCGGCTATAACATATGTTAGATATTTAACATTGAGTTTGGCTAATCATGTTATATGTGTTCAATTTTTAAACATCTAATAATATATGTTATCGATAAATAATATGTTATCCGTTATTTATAAGTTGACGGTCTAACAATAGATTTAAAAGCGTATTTCGAAATTCAAAGATAATCATATTAGTGTGCTTATAAGACTAGTTCAAAATTTGAAGATAATCATATTGACATGTTTGTATCCTTAATAGCTTTTTAAAAGTAATTATGTTGTCACTATTTAGACACAATTCATTGTTAACAAAATAACATTTTTTGCTAATTAATGTGTTCAATAATTAAACATCTAACGATACATATTACTAGTAAATAAATTGTTATCTGGTAATATATATGTTATAAGTCTAACAATGAATCAACAAGCGAACCTTATTACAAAATAATAAATATATCGAACATATTTAATCAATAGACATCTCAAAATAAAAATTACTGCTAACTCAATTGTTATATGCTATTATATATGTTAGCACTACAAGAGAAATTTCAAATATCAAATGTATAAAAAAACAATTAGCGACTAATAAATTCACGGAGTCCATTCAAATCCAACATACTGAGTTAACTCACTGAGTCAACATAGTTTAGTCGGATTCTTGTTGGATTTTTGGCGGATCTTCGACATATGCTTGGAGTTGTACAGGATTTTCGCCGGATTTCTTTCCACCATCTCCTCTCTTTGACTTCTCTTTTTCTTCACCCTCAACCATCTACATGAACTCTGCTCTGTCACCGTCACCACCCATTTCGCCGCTAGCACACTCTCCTTTGCCATAACCACCACCATCTCATCCCACCGTAAAATTGATAAATGGCTGATATTTCTTTATCCATGTTTTATTCATAATTTCG